GTGAATAATACATTGTCTCCTGAAGTGCTGCCTAAAGTCAGATTAGATCGTACTTTGACTTTATGCACAGATTAAAAATCAGACTGAGTTTACCAGGAATCCATTCAGAGTTGAAGTCACAGCACTTTCAAATCAAAATTGTCATACAACAAATAGTGGGGTAATGTAGGATAACATTCTCTTCTCTGCTGATCATCCTGAGGTTCACAGTCATCATGGATAAAAACAGATTTTAATAACTTGAGAGGCTTTCTTAAGTTTTTGTAATCAAAAGATGTATAATTTCATATGTCAATTTTCTTTCTTTATCCTGCACACAGCGATGTTTTCAGTGTTGGTGGTCAGGATCTACAGCACTGCTGGTTTTTACAAAGGACTTAGTGATTAGGCAGCTTGAATGCACAGCAGCAGGGCTCTGTGTAATGAGCAGAGAACCACTGAGCAGTGAGGGCCGTCTCTCTTCTGTTCCTGACACATCAGCTGCTCCCGCGAGGGTCTCAAACAGGATAAGTGCCCCTGTTTTCAAGATCCTTCTCTCAAAACTAGTATTTTGCTGGGATTAAATATGTCAGTTGCCTAAGGAGATATTTTTGCCTCGAAGTCACACTGACTTCTACAATAAGGGAAAAAGAAATTTACCTGGAGGTTCTTGTTGCTCAAATGTTGCAGGATCAACAGCATGCACCTCTGTCCACTCCAGTGATCAGCAGGTCTGTGGCTGGAGGACGAGGAGAGATTTTACTTACTATGTCTAATGTTCAATTCAGCAGGATGGCCTGAGTGTTTTACTTCCATTTTGTGGAGACACAACTGTTTTTTGGTCTGTTTAAGAGTCAACTCAAAGTTTATAACCACAATACTTCTGAATAGATAACACACACTGAACCAACTCACACATAAAGTGCAGTCATCCCCGTGAAAAATTCAACAAACTATATAAAACATTCAACACATAGACATGAGTGTGCAATACTTTGTCTGTGTTTGTCTGTTTTTCTGTTAGTTAGCAGGATTACGTAAAAACTAAAGGGGTTGGATCCAGGCTTTATTTTTCTCTCTTTGTTTAACATTGTAAAGACTGTTTTTATCATTTTTGTTGATTTCTCAGAGAATAATGTATGGGTCTTGGTGAAAGGCACAGACAAATTAAGGGAACTGATATATGAGTGTGTTACATTAGGTGCAGATCCATTTAAAAATCAAGATCTAGTGCATTTAAATGTGGTTTCATAAGGACACTGTAGGGCCTTAGTGAAGGTACAGAGTGATATTTTATTACTCATTTGTACTTATGGCTTCCTGCTGCTATTCTTATGTTATTTACATACATTTGATTTGTAAGCAATCATTGAATTGTATTACTTTCTATTACTATTCTGGCTTTTAAGACTCACCTCATTTATTTTTGCTACTTTACTTTTAATGGTGCTTGCCTGCAAATTATTTTCAAGTGATGTTTAACCTGTGTAACAACAAACATCACGAATCTTGAAAAATAGGCACACAATAAAGAAATACAATCATATGAGTGATGAAGAAAAGAGTTAGCGACAGAATTGATGAGCTTAGAACATAAACTTAAAAACAAAAAGCAGAGTAAACACAATAGGACAAACATCTCACCAGGTTGGCTGCTGACACTGTGAACTATTAATATGTATTCATTTATTTCATTAATCGACCAAACAAAACAATTGAAATGCAAACCCAAAATCTTGAATGAAGACACTAATGAACAAATAAATACAATGAAGAATAAAACACAACACAGCCCCTCTATTAGTATCTAAGTTACAGTTCATGTTAAATCGTGATTTAGCTGTGACAACAGCACAGAAGCAGCACATGCCTCAGAGTTTCCTCTGGATGGGACTGTTTCCTCCAGCGGACGGGCTTCAGCTCAGGTGATCCAGCTGCTCGCCGTGTAGTCCCCTCGCTCCAACTTCTGCGAACTGCGTCTCCCGTCGTTCCTTGCGTCGCAGTGTCAACATGGCGCCTGTCTGCCGGACAAAAGGCGAATCTGTCTGACGGCGGATTGAAACCCAATTAGAAACAGAGGAGACATTTTGGGAAAACTGTCAGTGTCGGTGAGTCCTGGCGCCGCGAGGCAGCAGATACATGTCGGAGTGAGTGTGTGCGGAGGCTCTGACGCTGGAATAATCAGGTGGGTGAAGCTGCAACTACATCTGTGTTCACTCGGCGCTGCTGTTAGCTCCTGGTACGTTTCCCTCTAGACTCACTCGTGAAAACTCCTTAAAAAACCAGCCAGCGCTGCTGCATCTCACTTGTCTGTTCAACTCCTCTCCACTTAAACTGCGTCCATCCGATCTGATCCCGTCAGTCAAAAGTCAGGGTGTAATTCGGCTTTCACCTAGTTCACCAAAAACCATTTGATCAAACACAGTGTCAACTTTTCCAGCTTGTCCACAGTGTGCGCTGCGGAGATACACCGTGTCATTTTGTCGTGTTCGATCATGACGGTGAACTACAGAGGAAGCAGCGATACAATGAGCCCGTGTGTTGTGGGTTGGTTGTGTTGGTCTGTGGGATGTACGCCGAATTGAAGAGGAGTTATTCATTATTAGTAAAACGTCCTAACATACCATCTGTCGTTCATGCCTGTTTTCCTGGAAGAAGGGCAACATTAAAATTATAACTTTCTAAATGTAATTCGTCGTGCAAGTGGATAAACTATGTAGAAAGACCTGCACTGGGGGCTACCTTTACTTCAGGGACCCCCACCATGTAGTCTGTGAGCACATGCACCAGCTGCTCTTTTATTGTTGGATTATAATTCCCAGTTATGAAAGTTGTTAATGTAATTATAACTGTCCAAGTGCTCAGCTGCAGGAGACAGTCAGTACAGTCAGTGCCACGTCTGGTTGTGATCTCAGGCAGGTCGCCGGGTTCATCAATAATAATCCTGTTTATCTTTAACATGCTTGACTTGTGTCAGAGGTATGCCTTCAGTGAACCTGACATTGTTTTTAGTCTGAGGAGTAAAACAGCTACTGGTTCAGAGTCTTATTCTGAAAGGGACCCTCTCCATGAAGAGGTCAGAGGTCAAGTTCAGCCACAGTGCAGCCCCTTTGCCCTCCCTGGTCGGGCTTCAGGATCGTGTGAATGATGCATAAGGTTTTGAGTCAAACTGTTGAAGTACTACACTGGTTGTGACTTCAGCTTTTGTGGTTTGTATATTTTATGTCCATTATGTCCATTCTCCATGCTTTGTAATTTTATCTTAAAGACTTCAGTAGTGTGCGAAACCACTGTATATTATTATCTGATTATTACTAGTCCTCACTCTATACCAGTCACACAGTAATTCTAAATTACATATGCAAAACTCTGGCAAAGTGTCAATTATCGTTTACCACAACCAGAAAAACTGACATCCATGAAATACTAGGCTGTGTGATATATGTTTTAAACGTTTCCAGTCTGTTTCTGTCCATTTTAATTGAGGCTGTCTCTCCCTATAAAATAAGAACCAGCATGCTACTCAGTAGAGCACATACCTCTGCTAAGGCCCAGCAGTCCTCTTATGAAATCACATTTACATTCACTGCATCCCACATTTTATTTGGATCTGCACCAAATAACACACACTGATAAATATTTGTGTAATCCTGCTAACTAACATACAGACAAACGGAGAAGGACACTTTACCTCTTTGGTGGAGGTAATAACTTCAAGAGAACACTCGGACCACTTTTTTAAAAAGTACAGCGAGAACCCTGTCTTTACCAAAGTAAGTGCGGCCTACAGACTGTTGATTTATCAGTGCCATGGTGAGAAACTTTGGTGATCATCAGCTTCAGTGACTGGGTCCTGAGTCCAGACAGATGTGCACAAAGGGAATCTTAAAGTGGTGTGGTTGCAACGGTGGCCAACACAGTATAAAAGTCAGTTTCCTGTCTTGATTTGAGAAATAACATTTTGATGGGATACACTATTGTATTCTGAGCTATGATAAATAATTTACCCATTTCTTCTCTCAGGACAGGAAGGGAAAAAGTCCAGTTTTCCTCCGAGTCACATGGTGTCATTGTGTCTTCTTACAATAGTCACACCTTTAAGAGGAAAGTTGGTTTCCTGCCAGTGTGGCTGGTAGAGAATAACCTTGCAGATAAATTAGGCCAAACATTGTTGCTTTTGCCCCGTGGCTATACTGAGACGTCCCACCCTGCTCTTGTTGCAGTAGGATGTGTTCTATTTCTACGGCACTCTACAGAAAGTATGAGAAGACACATTCAAATCAGTGAGATAGTGTACAAGTTAGCCTGTGTTAACAGCTATTTAAAAATCCAGACTTCAAGTCAAGTCTTGTCACACAGTGTTAGTAGACTGGACTTAGGTTCAAGGCCTGTACTGTTTAAAGATGGTGACATGTTTACAGCTATTTGTCTCTGTTTGCAGCAGTCTACTGTAAACTCTAAAGGCTGGGACTCAAGCCTATTTCTCCATATTTATGAGAATTTAGTTAATTCTACTCAATGTAAAAAAGCCTGGAGCCATTAGTCATGAGTGTCATAGAATGTCTACAGACATTATTGTAGTATAGTTCAAATGAGACTTTCATTGGTATGTATTTCAGTCACATTTTCTTAGTGTTTGGTCAGTCGCCCTCTGCTTCTCTCAATTTACACCATCTACAGCACTGCTGGTTTGAAAAATAATGGAATGAAAACCTTTCAGAGCTGGAGTTAAAGGTACAGTGTGTAGAATTTAGTGATATCTAGTGTTGAAATTACATATTGCAGCTGAACACCCCTCACCTCACCCTCTCCTTCCAAACATGAAAAATAAACTGTGGTAGTCTTTAATTGTCATAGGTGGTGTCAAAGGTGTTAAGTTTGTCCAGTCTGGACTAATGTAAAAAACATGGCGGCCTCCGTAGAGAGGCTCCCCTCGATGTAAATATAAAGTATTTAAATATAAAGGGCCTTTTATGGGATAAAGAAAACTACAATTTAGATGAAACAAACTAGTGAAAACATCATGAGGATTATTCTACATTAAATTTCTTCCAATAGATCCCTTTCACCTCAATCTTACACACTGAACCTTTAAGGTGCCAGCCACAGACCAGTCGTTATTCCCTATCTTATTTACTTCATACTCTACACTATCTGATAATATCACTTGAAAGGTAGCCAGTGTTTTCTATTGCTCTAAGTCACCTTTGAGATGTTGTCAGTTCAAGTGGTTGGACACTGTTTGTCTATACAACGTTAGTAAATGATAAAAAAAAATATATCTTCTGAACAGTTGTCTGTATGATATTGATGATGGCTGAATAAAGTNGTTAATAAACGTGACCACTATGTGCAGCCAGTTAACTGATGAAGTTTCTTCTGTACATGATGTTGATGAAGGCTGAGTTGCCTCAGTTGTTCTTAGTTGAATATATGAGTTTATTATGATATGGATCTGTTGACAGAGAAGATTCTCAGTCTAATGTACATGCATATAGTCAAATCAAAAAGCTAAATCAGTACAGCAGATGCTTCATAGTATTATACTCTTTTGAAGGAAAAAATATATTCGCCTGCCTCACCTTGACCCACAGACTCCCAAGTTTTGCCTAGACACAGCATCGTCCTTACACAGGGATCATAAATCCCACAGTTGGGTTCAGGCCTTGTAAGTCACAACAACTTGTACAGATCGTTAGGATGTACAGGAACCATACAGTGAATGTAAATTCCTCACAGGCTGTGGCATGAAGCAGGCGTCACCTGATTGTTGTAAGTTCTCTAAATAGAAATCCAGAAGAGCAACTTAAGCGTGATGTCTCGACACTTGAGGACAGACAGTTCACTCTTGGTTTCATTAGACCAGAAAATCTTGTTTCTCACACACACAGTGAAGATTTTAATTTCTTGCGCTCAGGTGAGGCCTCCGTCTAAACACCCTGTCATGAAGCCCAGATCAATGAACTACTACAGTGATGGTTACCCTTTTTAAAGTTTCTCCCATCTCTAAACAGGATTTCTGGAGCTCGGCTAGAGAGGCTATTGTGTTCTTGGTTATCTCTCTTACAAAAGCCCTTTCTCGCTAATTGCTCAGTTTGGCTGTTTGTTCCAAACTTCTTTCATTTAAGAATCACAGTGGCCTCTGTGATTGTCACTGTGGTTCTAGCAAACCTTCAATGCTGCAGAAATGTGTTTGTGGCCAATCCTGTCTCTGAGCAGCTCCTTTGACTTTGTTGTTGCTCTGATATACATTGTCAGTTGTGAAACCTCAGCTGTGTGCCTTACAAAAGCATGTCCAGTCAATTGAATTTACCATAGGTGGGTTCCAATCAAACATCTCAGAGATGCTCAAGCGAATTAAGAGGAACCTGAGATAAAATTAAATTGTCTGAATTCTTATGTCAATGTGATAATCCAGTTATTGTATTGTTTTCTCTTTCGTCAGTGAGGGGTATCGAGTGTATGTATGGGGTCTAAAAGTTAAAGTGGTGGAGTTGTATGTTGCAGCTGAACACTGCTCACCTCGTGCTCCCCTTCCAAACATGAAAGAGAACCTGTGGTAGCCTTCAGTTCTCTTAAAAACTCATAAGGTGTTTAGTTTGTTCAGTTTGGGCTACGGTAAAAAACATGGCAGCCCGCTGTAAATATAAATTATTTAAGTATGAAGGGCTCAGTCTAAGGTAAAGAAAACAACAATTGGTACAGTTTAGATGAAACACACTAGTGAAAACATCACTAGGATTATTTTATAATAAATTTGTGCCAATAGATCCCTTGCACACATCTTACACACTGAACCTTTAAGGCACAACAAAATAACTAAAGGCAAATAATTTTAAACTAACTAACTATACATTGTAAACTAAAAAAGCTAAGTGAATCATTTTACCATGATTTTGCCGCCTTGTTATCGATCCTGTCTTACTGTCTATTAGTATGACTCATCCTCTGCAGCAGAGACACAAAGTATGGTGCTTGGCTGCCTGAAATGTAAATTTTTCTTGGCATTTTTCCAGAGACGCACACACAGTAAACCTCCCCCTCCCGCTCTATAAGTGTTGACATGTCTGCTGACTTTGATTCTTCGTCCTGTTTTTCTTCTTGGCATCAGAAAGAAAAGCACAGAGACAGATGTGCTATATCGTTTGTCTGTTTATCTCCTTCTCCCTCACTTCACTTCAGTGACTATTATAATGACAGTTTTTAGAAGTGACATTAAATTAAATACTTCAGTTCAGTGACTATGATTATGAAATTACATTAAATCGGGACACATTTAAGAATACATGGCTTGTCAACATATTACAAGAACTGTGTCTGCAGCATCATTTCTGTAACATGATGTGATTACTGGGGTTAAAAACATCCACTGTAATAAATTCTTATTTAATCGAGAGGAATGCACTTCAGATCTGGATAGCAGCTGCTGTGCTCTGTCTTATCGTGTGTGCTGTAAATCTGCAGACAGGAAGCTAACAGACGTGACTTTGCCTCTGTTTTTCTCTGAGATTGTCTCCTTGCCAGTGCTTTTTGGGAATGTAAAGCTTAACAGATTAAGCATATCTGAAAGTTGCATATGTAATTGGATCCCTTAAGTTATAATCCTACTAAGAAATCAGTCATCAGACCCCATTTTGATACTGTTACATCCTGAACTGAATGTATTCAATATTCTTTTACCTCCTCTGCCATGTGTAGTAATTCATTGTTGCTGGTGTGTGGTTTTTATTGCACACAAGAAATTGAAAACAATGCATGCAGCAGACGTGACATGAAAGATGAAAGCCTGTGCATACCTGCATTTCACACAGTGCGTCAAATTACTTTGGACTACTGTCTTCTGCAGTCTCCTCCTTTAAATCAATGTGATGCTTCATAAATCCCTCCTCTACATAACTCCTGTCCTCTGTGGTCATGTAGTATTTTCTTTTTCTGTATTAAAACCTAAAGGGCCCCTCTGGACCTAACTTCTGTTTTGTGTGAACTAGTCATTACCTATATTTTTATTATATCATGATGGAGATAGAATAGGCTTCTTTGCCCTTTATACATTAGGTTTCACAATTTAACTATTCAAAATCATTACTTCTCCTCCAAAGTAAAGACCAGTGTGACCGACCCAGAGATCTGTCTGACCTCCTTGGATATAAACATTGGTCTAACACACTCTTTTATTGTGTCTTTTCTACTCTTTCACACTTTCTCTCTTCTTCTTGTGACTTTTCTTTTTCTCAGGCTAAAGTGTCTCACTGGTTACGTTTATCTATAGAATTACTGTGATTTGGAGATGATGAGATATTTGAGATGTGTCAAGCATAGAAAATTAATTGATGTGCTCAGGTTCCGACACCAAGGAGTTTGTGCTCCTCCCTACAACATACACCTACTGCGAAGTGTTAAAAAGTGAGAGGGTCAATCTTCTTTGGTATTAATGTTTTTTTTTTTGTGATATCCTTCAGGATGTTCCAGCAGTGTGAAGAGCCTCGTTTCACCATCGAGCAGATCGACCTCCTCCAGAGGTTGAGGAGAACTGGGATCACCCAGGCGGAGGTCCTCCATGCCCTGGACACCCTTGACCACCTGGACCGGCAACATGGACATAAGTTGACCCACAAACCTTCCTACATGCCTCCCTCATCTTCTTCCAGCACCGTCGCTGCCTCTTCATCCATGACTTCTGCTGCCACTCAGACAAGCTTCCCTGACAACCAACTTTCCATGTCACCCAACAATAACTTCGACACCACCTCCCTGCCTCTGCCGGTTCCAGTTGCCTCACCTGTTGTTATGGCAGCGGTGGCTCAGAACGGCCTGGTTGCCGTCAGCAATGGGAGGCTGTCACCGCCGCGGTTTCCTCTTGGCGTGGTTGGTGGCAGTGTAACAGCACCAGGCTACGGGTTTGAGGCCAGTGAAGAGGACATAGATGTTGATGAAAAGGTGGAGGACTTGATGAGGTAAGAGAAGACCAGACTTGTCTTAACTTGGACTGTTCTTAGGCCAGGACTGAATAAAACCAATATGAACCAGGTCAACTTGCTGGGGACAATTTTGTCCCCTGAATGGGAGACTTCTCATCAACCTCAAGGGGGTAGCAGTGATTTGATGCTTGTTTATATGATGTGTTACGGTACATATGCTCTTAGCTCCCAAAAAGATTGAGTAAAAGCTTTTGTGTTTATCCTTTTTTCACCTGAATAAGGTAAAAGTAAAAGTTTGTGTTCTTTGTTTTCTTCTGGAAAGGAAGAACGCCAACATTTTTACTTTACTGTTTTTTTATGCTAAAGCACTTGTACCGTAACACCTCATATTCTGTTGTTACTTTTGCATTTGTGTTTTCTGTTAAAGGTACAGTGTGTAGAATTTCTTGATATCTAGTGTTGAAATTGCATGTTGCAGCTGAACATGTTTGTCCAGTCTGGACTAATGTAAAAAACATGGCGGCCTCCGTAGAGAGGGTCACCTCGATGTAAATATAAAGTATTTAAATATAAAGGTCATTTTCTGGGGCTATGAACTAGTGAAAACATCATGAGGATTATTCTACATTAAAATTCTGCCAATAGTTTCACCTAAATCTTACACACTGGACCTTTAATGTGTTTGTGCCACCATAGTTTTATGAGTTTTATGTTATCTGTAAAAATATGATGGTTAGCCGCTCTGGTTTGTACCGTACACAACAAAACATGGTCACAGCTGAGAAAAAGCTTCAGTGACTGTGTGAACAGCTGCAGCTTCTTAGTTACTGGTGAGATGTCAGTTGTAAACAAAGAGATGGGGGCGACAAATAGACCATAAACACAAACTAGTTTACAGTAGTTGGCCAGCAACCAAGAACCTTGTTGATGAGGGTATAAAAGACTGAACTGAGGGCACAGGAATAACTGGACAACCACGAATAATCATTGTGGATAACTATGATTACGGTATTCCAATAATGACTGTTGTTGGAATGAAAATGGTGTACATGATTTCTGAACCACATAACGACATATAGATCCTGACACAAGAGAGCAGGTGTTAATACAAAAAGCCTGATGATCGACAAGGCTGCTTTTAGCTCACACTGTATGTGAATATGATATGAGTATTACTGTCTACAAATGCACAGACTGTACTCACACACACACACACACACACACACACACACACACACACACACACACACACACACTCTCACACACTCTCACACACTCCAGTGCCTCTCATTTGTAGTCTGCAGCCAGACAGTAGCAATCAGTGTTATTGATCTGAATGTGTGTGAAGATGAAATCAAAACAGAGGAGCAGAGAACATTACAACAGAATCAGGTTTAAATTCCTGCACATGTTCAGCTGTCGTCCAAACACTGTGACTCACAGTTACAGCTGGTTTAAGCAAAGTGACTGTTGTGTTGTGCGTTGTGTTTCAGTAATGTCTGACCGTTGAAGATCTAGACATGTACTCCGTGTAAACACTATACTCTCTGTGCTTGTAGAAGGGACAGTGCTTTGATCAAAGAGGAGATTAAATCCTTCCTGGCAAACAGGCGGATTTCCCAGGCCGTGGTCGCTCAGGTAACGGGTGAGTATCAGCTTCATCTGTACTTTTAAAACCAGGCCCATTAAATCACTACCAGAGCAACATGGTGTAATCAGCAAATATTCAGCCAACTGAGGATTCAGATCTGACTCCGCTCCTCTTCCTCCCAGGGATCAGTCAGAGTCGGATCTCCCATTGGCTCCTACAGCAGGGATCTGATCTCAGCGAGCAGAAGAAACGAGCCTTCTTTCGCTGGTACCAGCTGGAGAAGACCAACCCGGGTAACCCCACCGCCTATATAACATAACTTTGCCCCCTTCTTCCACTTGCGAAAACGTCAGTAACAGTTTTATTAACACTGACTGAGCACAGTCTTCCACTAAAAAAGGAAACTCGCTGCTATAACAGAAGCTGCTTTCAGTCATGCACTGAACTCCAGATATTCTTTTGAAATTTCTCGAGGGGCTGTATGAGAACACAGATGTCTGGGTTCATTGCTCCAGACATCTGTGGAGTTTTTCCTACCAGTGTCCTAGTTAAAACTGTTCTTGTGAGTCCATGTGAGAATACAGCTGGAAAATTTTAGAAAAATTCATGTTCCTAGTATGCGACAGATGCAAAACTAAAGAGGTACCCCACATGTAGAGGACTCAGACGAAGATTTCAACTGGGAAACATGTGATTCAAGAGCTTTTGGTGATGAGGGCCAACCTCAGCAGAATTTATACATTATGTTCTGCCTCATGTACGATCTACCCATATGCCCCCCCACGCCTGAATGTCCCAGAGATTTGCCAATGTCCTGCCTTGTTCCTCGTATGTGAAAGCCAAAGTCCACAGAATGTATGGACATAATCTGGACTATAATAATGTAATAATAACAGCTATAATGAGGGATGGTTAATCTGTAAAAGCACAGTTTATTTTGGACAATTCATGTCCTCTGCATGCTGTCAATGTGTCCTTGTGTAGGACCCAGGACACCCTGTTCTGTCAGCTGGATTTCATCGGCACAGAAAATTAATTTTGTCCCTCAGCTCACGGGTGTTCAAAGCTGTGACTGTAATATGAAGTTAAAGAGAGAAAAGTCTTGAGCCTTAATTTAGAGGATAGAAAACATGAAGACACAATGAATGTTTATAAGAGTAGTAGATAATATGTAAAGAAAATCCAGTTAAATGTGAAATTACATAAGAGTCTGAAGAATAAGGCCACTGAATAATGTAATAATTAGAGGTTAAGATGGCAACAAATGAAGTTAAAACAGTGCAGACACACAAATGGTTCTGATATTTGCAGAGTCGCAGATGTGATGTTTTATTAAAGAAACAAAAGCAGTAGCATATGTTTGCATTTTTATGATCATCTTGAGATTTCACTCCTGAGAAAAAGAAAGTTGTTTTGCTGACATTGAACAATGACTACACTGTGTCAAGTGGAGTGGAACTTAAAGTATGAAAAATGAGAACAGTCTAACTGAAGTGAGTCTGTGTTTTCACTTGAACACTGGAGGGATGCTTTAATAATAACCCCTTCTGTGCATCAGGATGTGATGGGTCACTCTTGTCTTCACAATGTGATCCTGATTATGTACACTAAGTTTTTTATATAAATATACAAACATAATATACAATGCCTTCTGTTCATGATTATAATTTAGATGTACAGTATTTTTAGGTGGAGGAAATGAATGGATAAGTTAATATTTTATTATACATTACTTTATATTTTAAAGTGACTGTAGACTTACCCTCAGAAGAAGCGTGGAAACCACCTTAGTTTACCTGCTTACTATCACTCAACTTCTGGATGCTGATCTAAATGAAAATGTAATTTTTTTTCCTGTAGAGTTTCAGAAAAGTTAGCTAATACTGCTGTTTGAAAGAAAAAAAACTGTTTGTTTTAAAGGTATTTATTAGTGACCGACTCTAGGAAAGTAAAAACAGTGAAATTCCTGGGAGTACTTTATCTCTTTACCCAAATCACACATCTTCAGGCTTTTCTACATAATCTTCTTGTCTAATATTTCTTCAGCTCCTGTTTCTTCTCAGAACGTCCCACTTTAAAGACCTCTGTCCTGAAAACTGGTTGTATATTTTATTTTCTAATAATTTAGTAATGTATTTGTGACTTGAGGTGCTACTCTGGCCATGCGAGCTGCCCCACTGGCTCTGGAGGACATAATGGAGTGGCAACAAGCTCCGCCCCCGTTTGGCGCTGCCCCTGGTGGCTTCCGTCTTCGGCGAGGGAGCAGATTCACCTGGAGGAAGGAGTGTCTGGCTGTCATGGAGAGGTGAGGAGGAGCAACGTTGAGGAAGTGTGAGTGTCTTGGTATATTGTTTGATTGGCATTGTAATTATAACATTGTGTGTCACAGCTACTTCAGTGATAACCAGTACCCCGATGAAGCGAAGAGAGAGGATATCGCCACTGCCTGCAATGCCGTCATTCATAAACCAGGTAGATAATAATTCATAGTTTTTTAAAAATTCCCAAACTTTGACTTAATTAGTCGGAACCTTTATTGACTTCCCTCACAATTACTAAGTAAGCAGTTACATCTTTTTATTGACTGAGAGGATGAGGGCTCATTGCGTTGCTCAAGAGCACAGAGCTGTATGGTGGCATTTAACAAGTCAAGCAGTCGAAGGGTTCAAATGCAACTTCATGATTATTTGTTTAAATTAGCTTCTTATGAATTATATATTTAATATAGAGTTAATACACATTGGGCTTGTTAAGTGGAATACGGCAGGAATAAGACTGGATAATTTTAAATTATTTTATTCCTCCTTAAACATTCTGTGTGTGTGTCTCACAGGAAAGAAGCTGACTGATCTGGAGAGGGTCACATCTCTGAAGGTCTACAACTGGTTTGCAAACCGACGCAAAGACATCAAGAGGCGCGCCAACATTGGTAATGTCTACCTCTGTGTGTGGTCACTGTAGTTATCATTAGTGTAACTCAGCATGAAGCAGGTACTTGGAAATGTAATGTTTGTTATCTCTCGTGCTGTGCTGAGTTTTCAGATAGTCTCTAAATAAATAAATTAACACACATGAAAGAGCTTTTTCTCCTAATGCACGTCCTTGTTGACCAACTGGTTGACTGTTGACCTGCACCTGCTCTTCACAAACTGCTGCTGTACAATCTCACACACATCTGGGCATCAGTGACAAACACTTATTCTCATCTTTACCAGCAGATGCATCAGCATGATGACATTCTGCTCTAGAGGAGCAGCTTCTGAATGCATCCAAGTGTGTTGTTGATCGAAGTCGATATGCTATGATCAGGTTTGTGTTTTTGAAGAAGCAGCCATCTTGGAGAGTCACGGCATCGAGGTTCAGAGTCCTGGAGGTCAGTCCAACAGTGACGAGGTGGATGGCAACGACTTCCCTGACCAGGTAAAGTAAATGCAGCTTCCCCATCGAGATAAACACCCAGTTTACACCGAACAGGTCAGTGTGTAAACTAAATTATATGACTGTTCTATGATGTATAAATGTAAGGGTTAATCATGGATCAAAACACCACCTCAGCGATTTTCAGACTTGACCTTCAAGTTTTCCTGCAGTTTGCTTTTCACACATGCACAACACAGTGGGAGGTTCTCTGCACAGACGCGTTCACAACAGAAACAAATCCTCCACATTATTCAGGCGATAGATGGAGCAGCAGGTAGTGACATATTAACTCCTCTGCGGAGATCATGTGATTTTCTTGACAACACACAGACACCGGTGTCGGCACTTATCATCTCAATCTCTCCTGACACATTTGTCTGTCTTCTCTGTCAGTTTTTTCATTGTTTGCGTCTGTTGTGTGTTAAAAGCGTCATCGACACTCGCTGCTGATTAACTGTGAAGTCCAGTGTATGTCTGAAAGAAGCTTTAGTGTTTCAAACCATCTCAGACCTTGCAGGTCCAATACATGCCTAGAGTTAACCGTTTGGGATGCGACATTTATATTTATTGAAAAAAACTAATCAGAAGTGGGCGGCACCCTGCTGCCAGCAACTGCTCGAGAGTCCACATCTGGAGAGCTGCGCTTATTTTCAAATCCATGCTGAAACTAAACCCCTAACAGTTAAACTTATAACTGTGCTTTAAAAAAATTACTTTTTTTATATTTGCAATGTTTGCCTGTTTAAATTTACATCTAGTCATTTCACCCCGATCTTTACAGAGACCCGTAATGGTCAGCAGTAGAAATATTCAGTATTCATTTACATCACCACTGTTTTGGATATGTAATTATAAAGTTACAGCATTGTGATACTGTTTGCCCATATGAGGATGTGGTTATTGTATAGCCTTTGTGCTGCTCTGTTACAGGGATGTGAGGTTTCCTTATTTGAGAAGAGGGCTTCAGCCAGGCAGTTTGGGTTCAGTAGAGCTGACCTCTCCTCTCCAACCCAGGTACAGTTCCACTACAACCACTGCCTTCCACAATGCAAACTGCATTTATCATTAGTTTTCATCTCACATTTAGGCTACATCCAGGCTACCTCGTTTTTGTTTTAAAACGCATCAACTCTGCTGATACACCTGGCGTCCACACTACTTCCGAGTTTTAGAGCCACTAAATTACAACAAGCTCTATCCTCTGCTTTTTAATTTTAAAACAACATTTTCAAACGAAACCCTAGTTGTATTGATGTAGCCTTAGAGAAAAAGTGTGGATTCAAAGAAAAAAACCCAACTCATTCTCTCCTCTTCTCCTTGCTCAGGTTCCCACACTGCTCCCCAGCTGGTTCTCCGCTCTGAGTAGAGGAGGCTTGTCCGGACAGAGGGGCACGTCTCTGATTGGCCGCTCCCCAGTGACAGGCACAGGTCCTCCGGCAGAAGGATCCAGATTGACGGGCGTGTCCTGGTCTCCACCGTCTCCTTCCCTCCAGGACGAACCCACCATCCACAGCGTGCTGTCCGAGCCCCAGGACCCCATCGGGTTGGAGAAGGCGGCTGCCAATCAGGTGGAAGGGGCGGGCTGCAGCGCGGGGAATGACATCAAGACGGAAATGCTTGAGGATGACTGAAGAGGGTGGTGGATATTGGAGTTGTCAGAGAACAGGTGTGTTAATATGCAAGCTGATTTTATAGGAATGTAATAAGTGGGAAAAAAATGACCAAAAGTCGTGTAAACGCCAACCCTGAGATACCTCCCAACCCTACCTCCAACCATCAACCTGCTCTGCTATGCTCTTATAGGCATTACTAGTGTATTATATCAATGACAATAATAATAACGGTAAACTTCTATTTGTCAAAGTCCACGTCAGATGACTGTGGAATATTTCAAATGCCTTAAAAACAACAAAATCAAATAAAAAGGTGAAATAAATAATAATAAAGTTACTCAGTTATGACAAAGAAAATGCATAGCCCTCATCAAAAGTAATGTGTATTATCTTACTCATTATTGTTTGTTGATTTGTTTTTATTAAGGCATTTTTAATCTTCCACAGCAGAGACTGACTAAGTAACAGGACTTGATGTTTTGTGCAGATTTCCTTGATAAACTGCGTTTTTACAAACACTGTATTCATCACGGGATTCAAAAGATTTCAGGGTCTTGCACTGTGATCACAACACAACTGAACAGCCTCAAAAACTAAAATATATGAATTTGACAGTTAATTTTAACTGCTTGTTTTAAAATCAGAGTTATGTGACTCATGTCATCGCAGTTGAACACATTTCACCTTTGCTGTTGATTCCTTCCACTGAGAAGAACAGCAGAATAAGCTTAGTTTTTTTTTTTTTTTTTAAGTCAAGGTCACGTCACAGCGTAAGATGACTAAAAATGACCAGTTCCTCTGTCCCCCACCCTGATGAAATAAGCTCAACATATGGAAGCAAAGAATGGGCACAATAATTTGAATTTGAACACATTTTCCATTTTTTTTATGGTCACAAACTCTGATAACAACTTCAGCTCTCCAGGTTTTCAGTCACTTGTCTGAGCTGCTCCCCCTTAGATCACACGACAAAGAAAATGTAACACAACTCAATTGCTTTGCCCTGGCTGCTTGAATGTTCAAATTTAAATTTCTGTTTTGAAATATATGTGTAAAAATGATCACACAAGGTGCTTTTTAGTGCTAGAGTGATGATTTTGCTACAAAGAAACAAATATAACCCAAAATGAAAAATACCTTTATTGCTGTGACTAATGCATGACAAAGATAGAAAATCCCCCCAAATGTTGCTGCACAGTATGTAGTCACCCAGATGATGGGGAAAAGTTTTTTAAATCTTTGCCATGCATTAGCCACATAAATAAAAACTTGGATGTGGACGTTTTTCAGTTTAAAATGAGCCACTAGAACTTTTGACTTTATAAAATGTGTGATCACATTATTTTTTTAGAATTTTAAGATTTTTTTTTCAAGATTCACCAATTTAAATGTTAGAAATAATATTTTCTTTTAAATTACACATTTTTAAATGAGCTACAGAAATTTTAAAGAAGAATTCAAGTCCCATGAGCAGGTGTCTTTCTAGATAAAATACTTCAAATCTATAAATCAGGTGGTTAAGTGGAATGACACTCAGTAGAGTGCATACCTCATTGCACACGCTCAAAGATATCAGTCTTCTAAATATGCCGGATTATTTCATCCATGAATAATTCAATTGGAAATAGTTGGGATTGTTGAAAAAAAAATTTGGGGTTAAAAACGAACCTCCTCAGTAGAAGTACTGTAATTCGGCCTCCAGCTTCTAATAAAATTCAAATCGTTATGGCCTCTTTGCTTCCATATGAGTAACAAATAATTAAGAAAGAAAAAGTGACAAATGTCACATTTCGCCAAATACAGATTTGTGTAAAAACTAGAAATGTGAGTGTCCAGGCGACCAAGTGTTCTTTATTCATTTGTGCCCTGTTCCGTGACGGATGCTCAGGCAGAATGAATGATCACTGTGAGATCATCTATAATCAATAGAAATCAATCAACTGGGAGGGTTCAACAGTTTAATCAAACTGTTTAGATATTACAGATTCAAGTGTAAAGTGACTACACAAATATAATAGAGGCGTATGTACGCATACGTACACACATACGTATATACAGTATATATATATATATGATATAAACTGTGAGGGTATGTGTATATGTGCCCTGATCCATTTCTAGTTACAGTATATAAACATATAAGCTTCTAAAGAGAGAAACTATCAATATGAGTCTTTGTTGTTGGCGAAGGTGAGTGAAGCATTAGCCAAAGTATTAAGTTTTAAATTTTCTGAGTGTATGAGAGTCATGGATAGAACTATGTATTAGAGATATGCTAATCAAAGACGCATCAGATGTGTCACATTATCGCAAAGCTAAATGCATCGTTTTCCTCTGTAGGTATATCTGTGTTCGTGCCCGATATGCCATGTGTTCTAAACACATCAGTTTTCATTTTAAATGACACTTTATTGGATAAATGTCATGGTGCTTAAGAGTCGCTGCTGGTCAAACGCTTCGTGGTCAGTGACGGACCACAGACCAACTGAGGTTGTTCCTCAGGCTAAGAGTTGGATTCTTTAGGGACGACCACAAGGAGAAGTCGTCTTTATCTGAAACATAAATGTCTGGTCACTCGAGTCAAGAAATATTTATCCCAGTACAGCCGCTGTAGAAGTCCCATCTGTTCTCTGCTTTACAGTAAAATCCTCATGGATCGTTATTCAGGGTTTAACCCTTTAGACCAGAGTCTTATTACTGGTTGGATGAGAAAATACTAAATAACTAGCAGGAGACATGCTTATCTTATCATTATTCATCTCACTTGTGTGTCCGCTATATTCATCATCCATCATCACTTATTCTTGGAGGGTCGTGGAGCCAATCCCAGCAGGCATCGGGTGAGAAGCAGGGTACATCCTGGACAGGTCACCAGTGTATCACAGGGTCAACTCATAGAGACACACATCTATTCACACTCACACCTGCAGTTTAGACTTTCCACTTAATCAGAACCTTCTTGCTTTGAGGTGACAGTGCTAACCACTGTGTCACCCAGCAAGTGATAACATCTCTGCTGTTTCCCTGAATGAGCAGTTCAGATGTATTGTGTTTCTGGTTTCTGCAGTGTGAATGGATACAATCAGCATTCACTCCCTGGTCAAAGGACTCTGCAGTAGATGGGTTTAATCGACTCCGATCGGTAGTGACGGAGACATGACACGATAGACAGCGAAGTGCGAGAGCTCCTCAGTTGTTGGTGCCCTCCTAACTTTGAAAATGACTCATTGGAAAACAACCGAAAGGTAAACTCCTCTTCTGTCAATGGGAAAGAAGTCATTCACCTTTTTGAACGGGTTTACCTGTGTTTAAAAACAACCTGCTCACAGGTGTAAAAGAGGATGAGGGTGTAGTGAACCAGAACCAGAACAATCAGCTAAAACAGGCTGAAAGACTACAGAGGGCGATGGTCACGTTATTCCACACATTTGTTCCTGTTTCCATTTCAGTGAAGCTTGGCTCCCTGATGAGGTTTTAATGACAACATTTTGAATGAGGCTGATTATTAGTCAGCTGCTTCTGTTTCATTGTGTAGTGTGACCATTGTGTGACACAGGTCAGGCTGTGGTGCAGTGTAACCGTTGGTGGAAATAGTTCTTTGTCTTTAGCACTGCAGCTGTGATCCGGCTTCACGGAACCATGTCCCTGATGTGACATTAGTTATTCAGCACATGAGATGTACTGAAGGATTTTAAGTTGAAGTGCCTTATTTTTTACAGTGTACAGGATCAGTGCAGGCCGGAGGACTCCTACAGCGGCTGTAAACACATGACTAATGCTAACTAAGCTACGCTACATATGAACAGTGAAGTGGCTTCATTCAAACCGGTTCATCATGTTGATCCCCAAGGTGCTTTATAGGCTCAGCTACTAGTTCAGAGTGAAACACTCGACACATATACCTCACTAATAATCAAACACCCCCCTTAGCTACAGTATAAGCTACACCTGCTCCGCAGCTGCGTTAATGTGAATCATCACCCGGACCGCTGGGAATAAAAGAAGCTGTAACGACAGCCCACTGGCTAATAACACCAACTTCAGTGTCCTTTTAAAAGGGAAATTCCCTCAAACTCTAGCCATTAAATATTAATTTGGAAAGTAAAGGGAAGTTCCACTCCAGACAAAACCAGATTTATTTGTTCCTCAGCTCAGAGTCCATGGAATAAATGTATAATAGTTTATTTTGCTCCTCATCCTGGTGGAGTCCAAACACGTCGTCAGTGTTGGTTTCAGACTGAGCGTCTGAGAAAGTGTTAAATTTAGTGGTGGAATGTCTCTTTAGTTGTGCGGCAGCAGAGCTGTCCTGGTGTCTTTGCTTTAAGCAGTTAGACTCTGAGGCATCACTTATGTAGCTTTGTCCTCAATTTTTGCTTATTTACACCAAAAATATCAAATCAACCTCTCCGAGGGTTGGAAAATGATTTATTTTTTCTTTTGAATCTGCCAAGCAGAAGCCTTTCTGAAGTGAATCTGTGGATTCATTTAAGACAAAGTGCTGTTCTGAGATTATTTCAGCATTGAAAGCCTTCATGGTGTTATCGTGAAGTTGTACTTTAGAGTTCTGATGCAGATAATTGAAAGATTGTCTGTGTCCTTTTGTTTTTGTGTCATTGTAGAGCCAAGAAATCTGAAAGCAAAAAGACAAATTCAACAAATTAAAAACAAAAGATTTGACACGCATGCTTAATGAGGAACCACAAAGTAAATTAAACTGTAATTGAAACGAGCTGCTGTCAGGGGGTTTTTTTGTGGAAAAGTTTTTGCTCTCAGATTTTCTTCCTGCCTTGTTTGTTGCACATGTTCAGTGGGTGGGTTTAATCCACCTGCGTTAATGTACATTTCAACATTAAAAAAAACAAAACAAAATCTATTAAAGCAAAAGGTTAAAATGTCTTTTCATATAATAAAAAAGTTAAGTCATATTAAATTTCCCTTAAGCAACTTACATAAGCATTTGCAGTGTGTCAGACTTTGTTTCTGACGACAGCGTGTTTCCTTCTTCTCTGGTTTAAATGCAGTTCTACCTTCAGCCTTCATTCCTCTGTTGCCTCTGTTTTGTTTTGAAACGGCGAGCGTCCTTCACTGCTTCTTCACAGGAACGAAGCAGCTGATGAATCAGATCAGGTCCTGGAACATGGACGCGTGCACGTGTGTCCAGTCATTCACTGTTTTCTCGATCACGTTCATAACTACTCATTGTCGTCTCTTCCTCAACAAACACAGCAGAGTAAATACGTACTGGATCTGAGATGCCTTCACTGGCTGCCAGTACCACAGAGGTAGGATGAATTTACTGGGCTGTAGAGGCGCCATCTGATCTGAGATCTGCTGCCTGAACAGGCAGCTCTGAGAGTGAGCTTTTATTGTAGTGGGAGAAAAAGACAGTTGTGAAAGCATCCAGCAAATAAAATGTGGATGTTCCATCTTAATGTTCTCATTTAATCAGCCAATGACTGGAAATGCGACTAAAAACATTTGATCTGCTACTTCATTCTGGAAATAAACTCTTGAATAATTCTGTGTAAGAAGAAAATGATCAAACCCTCAGCAGGATGTTTGTTGTAGCAGTTTGAATCTTTGTGTTTTCTTCTTTTTAATCCCCTCTCGTTCTCTATTTCAAGATTTAGTGCCTTTTTTGGACGGTAGACTGTTCTGTAATGGTTATGTAGAAAATCTACATATGCCTTTTGTTACTTTTTCATCTGTTGGATAAACCTTATTTGTTATTTTTAAGGTGTGTTTTTATTGATATTATATTTACAAGGGAATAAAAACTGATCAGAGTCCACACAGTGTGTCTTGGTTTGTCCTGTCGTGTTTATCAGCTGCTCATAGAAACGTCTC